CCCCCCCCTCTGTCTGGCCGGCCGCCGGTGACGTGACGCACTCCAGCACTCCAGCACACGTGTGGCCCGGCAGCCGGAGCACGTGACGACTTGTGGAGTCAGTCTAGCGCCGGCCCGCTGCTGCTGCCACCACCCCTCTATCCGCTGCTCCCCGATTTTATATTTTCTCTCCCACCCCCAACCCGATGCCGGGCGCAGAGTTTCCTGTTTTACCCGCTCGCAGCCGCCGAGAGTTAAAAGATCGACTTTGCTTGCACGTGATATCGCGGATATTTATATACAGAGACGAGGGGGCGTAACCAGATATGAGCAATTGAACGAATCTGACCGACCGCCGAGACCGGAGCGCGCGGTCACCGCCACACCGCCGCGAGGGCAGAGGTGATGAAGAAAGCAAGGAAGGGACCTTTTCTCCTCGCCTTTCGCCTGCAGGCGGTCAGGTGGAGACCGTGTGCCGGTCTCAGCGACCGGTCAGATTCGTTCAAATGCTCATCTCTGGGCGTAACCCCTGGCCCTGGCATAGCATATACCAGGTGGCTCATTCGTAGTTATACTGTGCCGCATGCACGCGTGCGGGAGAGTTGCCTACTCGTACGGGGCTATGAGGTGCCGTGGGCAGTGAGGGTATAGGAAGGCCCACCCGGGCCCACCCGTACCCGTGCATGCAGAGGCCCTTGATGCACACACTCTGAAAGGCGCTCACGTCCTGTAGACCCTCACACCTGCATGCTTAAAGCTGGGGCGGTGCTGTGGGAGCAGAATATGGGCAAAGATGTCTAGAATCTATACGCCGCAAAAGATGTCTCAAAAGTATACACTGTAGATCCGGGGTGTCCAACAACTGTGCAACAAAAGGTGCCCGACGCTAAAACCTGCGCAACTTAGGTCGCACAGCTGCTAGCTGCTGGACACATTTTGGTTTGGCACCCCTTTCCCTGCACAAGGGTCCAGGCCAAGCCTTGGTAGGGTGTCTTGTTGTTGGACACCCCCTGCCTGCCTGGGCCCCTCTGCAGGGAAAGGGCGCCAAACTACAAGGCGTCCAGCAGCTGTGCGACTTAAGTTGCACGTTTTAGCGTCGGGCACCTTTTGTCGCACAGTTGTTGGACACCCCGGATTTACAGTGTACGCCAAATGTCGCTCGGGATCATGTAGCATGCGCCTTTTGGCGTATACATTTGAGACACCCCAAATTACAGTGTAGGCCTCGGTGTAGGCAAACCCGCCCGCACGCGTGCATGCGGTACAGCATAACTGCGACAGTGAGCGGCTGGAGCGGCGAGAGCCAGCCACCTGGTGTGTGCAAAGAATGTACTTGCTTAAATCCGTTCGTATTTATCGCCATCGCGGGTGGGCTGTGCACCTGGCGCTCACTTGTTCCGACGTGGCCATGATAAATTAAGAAAGCTTAAACATAGGGGGAGAGAAGAAGTGCAGCTGAAAGGAGACAGACCATAGTCTATAGTTTCCTCGAAGAAAATCGCCCTGGGAACGAGGGGAAAATTACTAGCGGCGAGGGGGCAGCAACTCCGGGAATCATGTGACTTTCAAAGCCCCGTGGGCTTGTCAATCCACACTCCCACTGGGCAGGGAATTTTGACCACACTGGGCTTGATGTGTGGGGTTGCCAAGCCCATGATAGGTAAAATCGCAAATATTTTTTTAATAGTGTACACCTGCCTGGTAATTCTAAGAATAAAAACTCATCGAAGTCACCAGAAATCATTGAATCTAAGCGGGGAAGTAGTGGAACTGGTACAAATTAGTAGAAGTAAGCGTTTTCTGTTACTAGAAAGACTGAGGAATAAACATAAGCGGACGGAAATCACCGGGACTCTAGCATTTCAGGAATCATGTGTACACATACAAGGGGAGTTCTTGCCCCCTCGATTAGCGGTAAAAAATCGAGCGTAATGGCGCTTTTAACATTGTGCATATACGATAATTAATAACGTATAGGGGGAGATAAGGAAACATCGCCAGTCGTGTTGTGACAGAACCGACCGATCAAGTTTTGACTCCCTGCAATCACGAGAGAATGGTCTTCTCTCGTGCTCCTGCTGTAGCACCTTCACTGACAATCGTCCTTTCGGGTGCGGGTGCGATTTGATGACGGTGCGAGTTTCAGAATGTATGCCAGTTTTTTTCTCAGATTCGTTTGGTATAAGTTCAGTTTCAGTTCTTAAAATGGTTTTATTTAAGTCTAGTTAAGTTACATTTGAATTTTACATAGGTATGCTGTTGCCCGTAGGCCTTACAGTATTTTTGCTTTATTTGGTATAATCCCGGCGGAGCTCGGCGCCTGTGAGACTCGGGGTAGGCCATCCCGCGGTGCACGCATGCACTGAAGGCACGATGTTGCCTACCCACCAGGCGCTCTGAGAGCTTGAACTTGTCAGGCGCCCAGTGTGGGGCGAAACGAGACGGAAACAGTTACAATGCCACAAGTCCCTCTACGTCGTGTAATTGACACAGTTTGAGCTGGTCCTGCGTATCAGTAGTGTAGCCAGTGAGTGAAGCGGGGGCGGCGGCCCGGAAAATTTTGGTCAAACTCAACCCCCATTCCGCCCCGCCTCCACAAAACTTTTTCGGGCACGGTGCACTTCCTCCGCGTCCCGTCCCGCCCAGGCCGACGCTCTGAGCACACACGGGGCGGGGGTGGGTGCACCTGGCGTACCCGCACACACATGTTCCGGGCGCACGTTTCCGTCCACGGGCGGCGCGTGGGCCGCAACGAGTCCGGCCGGCCGCCGAGGCGCAGCCAAGGCGCAGCCGCAGCCCCGCCGCGACGACCTACGTCCCGGGCCCGGCTCTCGAGAAGCCCAGCAGGTCGATTACGTATCACGTGCGGCCCGCCAGCCGCCCTGCCTCTGCCTGCCCAGGCACCCCACGGGCCGGGTTGAAGTTAGGCGGAAGGAGGCGACGACTGCTGGACCGGCGCCGCGCGCCTCCAAAGTGACGTCACGTTGTCGTCCCTCTTACGAGTGGCGGCTGGCGGCGCGTCACGCCCATCAGCATAATCTCTCTTTCTACCCAACTTCAAAGTGGCCTGCGTAGCAGGGAGACGGTGCGGGTGGGCAAGGAAGTCGCATGTAATCGACCTGCAGCGAACTGGTCAGCACGTGGCGACCGGTGCCCAACGTGACGGATAGGCAGCCGGCATAGCTAGGGCACCCGGGACCTATGCTAAGTTTAAAGAGCTCACCCCATTCTTCCTGCCAACATAGGCTCATCTAGGCCTGGGGAGAGAGGAGAGAAAAAAGAGCTCGAGGAGCGGACCGAAAAACCATTGGCTAGTTGGCTTCTTCTCTGAACCAAAGTTCCTGGTGGAGTGACGACTTGCAAATAACTTCGTCCAATATTTTACACGATGGGGAAAGAAAAGAATTGCAAAGGTGTTCAGTAATACATTCTTTTAATGATATACGGTCTGTCTCAAAATTGTTTCTCTTTTTTAAAAAGTAGTCAAGACAATGGAGATAAAAACAATTGCTACAATAATAAGATATAAAATATGCAAGGGTTGTAGAGATAATCTAATAAAGAATAAGATTTATTGGCAATATATATATGACACAAAGGGTTATCCACTAGCTAAGTTCAATAAAAAGACCAGTCAACCCTTGCACAACAACATTGATTTCTATATCACATTCATTCAGAAAATAGCCAACATGGGTCTTTCCGTCAATGGTCGGCATTAGTATTTTACCACATGAAAATATGAAACTATACTCTACAGGACATCACAATGAAGCAATGAGACATGATACAAAGAGCATTTCATTTCGGTAGATGGATCCTACATTGGAGGGGAAAATTGCAGAGCTTGGGTAAATATAGATCTAAAACCAAGAAAATGAAACAACCTCCTCATAAAACTCGTGGCAAATATTCAAATTAGCTAAAACACAAAACGGGAAAAAGAGGAAGAAATATTTAAACATTTTTTTAAAATCTATGAGAAAAGAAAATTGATGAAAGAAAACACAAAATCAAAATGGTTTGAAAACCTTAGATTGAAACAATAACTACATGTTAATTTCAACACAGACTTCATTTCTGGCATACTGGCTAAGTTTAATATTTGATCTGCTTTGTAGGCTTGAGTAAATTGAAACTTCCTCTACTCTTAGGACGCTCAACATTACTAGAAGATTGCATGTACAACACAAGCAAAGAGGAACCTGAATAGTAGTAATGAATATAAGTCATCAGTAAAAAAGATAGATCGGCAATTACATATCAATTTATTTTTCAGGTTCCACAAAGACTGGTCTTTCCCATTACAAACTAAAAAACTAGGACCCCAAAACTTTCTTAAGATAGAAATTTTAGATTAGATTTAAAACCAATTTTATTTTTGTGCTCTACAGAAATTAGTGCAGGCACAAATAATACAAAATACTATACCACATTACCAGTCAAACTTCATTACTGTATTGAACATGCAGTCGTCATCACCAAAATCTTAACTTCAGTGTGCCTTCAAAGGCCAACCAAAATAAAAAATACATTACAAATGACATCACAAGACAATTGATTTGCCAGCTATAAGGACTCCACAAGTAAAAAAAAAAAAATTAGGTTGATAAAAGGCAATAAGGTGAAGCTCAAATTCAAGATTAGCATTAAACATACAATGAAAAGAGCATCTCTATCAATAGCATACCATACCATGACAGTGGAAGCTATAACTCAGGCTCAGGACTCGGTACTCTACAACAGGTATGTGAGTGGTGCGATCACCAGTTTACAAAAGCAAAATCCATGGGAATGTGGTAAGTTCATTTGGAATACAGTTAATTAAATCATATGCACTGAATAGAATGAATCTCTATTGCTGCAAATGTGTCTTCCCATGAAAATTATAGCTGTAAACTTTTTTAAGATAGGCATTTCAAGTTGATCTACTTTGATAGAACTAAGGGAATGCAAAAGGCGAAAACTATCACCTGCATGACAAAGTCAATTTCAGACTTCTCTTCAGTAAACACAAGAGACATTCGCTATGGGGTTCCATCAACAACACTGACTTTCATGGTGCAAAAGTGAATGCTTCTTCCAAAGAAGAAGAGTGCAGCAATAAAAGCACCTGGGAATTAAAAGAAAAGTTGTGATTAAATGGAATTATGTATCAACTAGTTCCAAGATAGATAAAATCTCATGGCAAAATACTTACCAACATAGGTGACGAAAATTCCTCCATGCTTCAGTGCATATTCATAGGTTCCAACCTGAAATTTAATTTAATTTGGATGTAAAAAAACTGTATACTGTTCAGATACCGATACCTGATGACTTTGGAAGATTACAGATCTACTTACAGTTACTCCAATACCAATAGCCAAGAAAACAAGGCCCAGTATGAACAGAACAATAGCTCTGCCTCGTGCAAAATCTGGTCCCACTGATGAGCTGGAAATGGAGGAAGATGGTTTTCAAAAATAATAAAAATGGTTTTCAAAAAAAATAAAAATATTCACAGAAGCTGCAAAATATTGTGCAGTCTGACCAAAGGTGCATCTTTTCTTATTTACTTAAGACACTGACATTCCAAACCCAAGTGTGCTATGTAACACAGTGCTGGTGCTCTGCACTTAAATAAGATATACTTACACTTTCCTGCAATATGGACATCTTGCCAAAGCATTGCTCAGAGTATTAAACTGGAACAAAAAGAGAAGTTAGAAAGCAATAATTAATGGAGATATGGTAAAAGGAGAAGAGAAACAACTCACAAGGAACGTTCCATGGCAATGAGCGCAAACCACTGAGCACATTCCTGGCATAGAGGGAGCAGGTGGAGTGACCGGAGATGGAGCCAAATTAATGATTCGTTTGCAATCAGGCCGTGGGCAAGCAATTCTCTGGGAAGATCCCTTGCAAATAAGAAGGCAATTGCAAGGGCATCGCACATACTTCTTTCCTGGTGGAGCATTCCTTATAGGCTGAACAAAAATGATCAAAATTTAACACATTGCAGATTGTGATTGAAAAATAGATAACATAAATTGTAACAATCTTTACCGTAGCCTCATTGCATTGAGTACATTTAACAACATGTTGATCTCGTCGACCTGATATATCAATCATTGCCTGACAAACTCTGCATGTTACCATGGGTACAGATCCCTGTCCCACAGCAGTATGGTAGGGTGGTGGCATTTCATCCGGTCCAACTGCAGTGACAACATTGCTGCCGTCTGGAATTCCTAAAGAGAATATGAAGACGAGTCAATCATAACAATTTAAGAGAATAATTAAGTTAACTTGTTGATTGATAAATCTTAATAATTGCACAGAACTCTTGTGTACAACTAGCCATCAGATAAAGATAATACTTATGTGTACAGTGACTTGATATATGTTTTGATGACTGGTAATTTTTTGAAAAAGGTGAAGAAATAAGTTGAAGTTTACATATCATTTTTATATCAATTATAATGAGTTGATTTTAATTTGAATTCCACAGCAGATCAGAGTGCATGAATACGTCGTTTTTGTTTACGAATTGACCAATATAACCTAACTGTATGAGTCAGTCTTGTAATAGTATTATCAAGGGTGATAACGGGTTGGGAACAAAAACCTCCAGTATGCTAATTAAATTAAAAAGATTGCACTGTACCTGTTGTCAAGTTAAGAGAAACAAGAACAACAAACTTTTGTTATGTAATTGGTCGATTAAAGGATCGTTTTTCAAGGGAAGCCGTACATGTATTCTGACATGTATTTGACAAGAAGCCTGCGTGCCGCGAGGAGAACATTGGACCAAGTGTGCCATACGATGTTTTGAATAGATTTTAGCCCACACTACGATGGGTGTCTCCAAAGTTACATAACGAGAATCGGCACCGAGTAGGCCACTGTAGAACCATTGATGCGGCAAGGCCACCTCCGAGTCGGGTTCTAATTCGGCCGGTAGTGATCAAATATGACACGGAATAAAGGCAAATCACGAACGGATTACGATACTCACCATCCGTATACCCGCCTCGAATCCTCGAGGTTGGTGATGAGTTATCGCTAGGAAGCAAAGGCTTCCGTTCGCTCTCCCGTCCATCGCCCATGTTTTCCAGCTCCGCTGACAGCAGCTGGGGATCTGCTGTCTAACCAGAAAAAAAACAAAGAGTTACGGAGAAGAAGTGAAGCAGAAGAAAGACTCGTCAGTCACCACGTGACCCGTCATGTTGTATGAGAAATCTAATCCACTGTGGGTTTGTTGTTTTTTCACAATTGTTTAAGAAATCTTGGTTTTATTATTCTACAGCTTGAAAAAGGGCTTGGGACTTAAAATATCCAAGGACCGTGAATTTGAAAACAGGAACGAGGAGGAGGTTAAACATAAAAACACAGGGATCAGCAGGTTTTTGATAAGTTGTTTATTTCAGTAAACAAAACTCAAAACACAATTATTTTTTTTAATAATAAAGACATTTTTTCAAATTTTCCCAGCACTGCACAGTATATTATTGTGCAAGTTTAAAGATTAACAAGTCCATTGTAATGATTAATCTGTATTTTGGTTCAAAATGCAGTGGGCAGGATTTATTTTATCATTTAGTTTAGACCAAGCCACACTGGCCTTCACCAGTACCTTGTAAGTTTCGTGGCAGTATTGATGGCATCACTCAAGCCATGAAAGGAAGCAATGACTTACAGTCTCTGCAACCCCCAATAGTGTTCTCCATCAGTTCATGATTGACTAGAGTTTAATATCTCAAATATAGTAACACAACGACCATAAATTGTCTATTATATTTACAGTTCAATAACATAGGATACTAAGTAAAAGTGTGAGCTTTTTTAATGCCATCAGTATCATATTTAAAACTGGGCCAAATATCTGACAAGTTCTCCAGCTACAACAAATGGTTAACATTTCAAAGATAAGATGAATGAAGGTGCAAAATATAAGTTATGCCCTGAAACAAAACAAAACAGAACAAAAAGAGAAAGAAAAGAATATGCCCATTGTTCTGGAACTGCCAAGACTATCTGTGACAGTTGTCGTACATGTAAATAAAAGTACATACTTACGAAAATTTTTAATCTGATTACACATATTCAAAACTGCACTTTAACAGAATAAAATAAAATATTATCAATCCCTAATATATGGTATACCACAAAGGTAATGAACATTTTGAAATAAATGCTTCCAAATAGTATATCTCAGAACTTTGAGATATCCTATTTGGAATCACTGTTATCAATCACCCATTTAAAAAATACTCAAAAATTCTTTTATACAGTAACCTGCATTGTCTGAATATCTTTCAGAATGTTTTGACTCTGAAAGTCATTTCAGTACAGTTAATGCCCTTATCAAGTCTTATCACTAGAACACATTTGAAACAGGCCCAATCACTACGGTTCCAAAGCAATTTCATAAATGAGGTAGGCACCATGGTGCACAGTTATCATATGAAAGGTAATATACACTGTACAATAATCACAGAAAATGAAATAAACTCCAATATAGGAAAGAGATTTTTCATGATAGAGTTGTTAATGGACTCACAACAATAACATACATCAGGTTTTTGTTTTAAATACATATATCACAAATTTACACACACTATGTGACAAAAGAAATTCAAAATACAGCATGAGGAGGCCTTCAAATATCCCTGAGTTAGAATATGTCAGATGTAAAACACCATGCAGTAATCAACCTGCAAGGACTCCTGCTGCATGACACATTGGTCAAATTCTTTCTAGAACCCATCCCTTTGTCATAGGTCAAGCTTTGAAGTTCAAGTTTATAATAAAAATTAGTTAAAAGAGGAAGTCATGTTATCAGGTTTGTAATGCAGATGCTAGATGCTGCATGTAGTTAGGTTAGCACACAACTGCAAAAGATGAAAACAGTCTTTACATTATACAGAGAATGTGCTTAATTTAACATATGCATGCAAGATAGAAAATTAACTGAAGTATTCCTACTCGATAAAGGGAAGAGGTTGAAACAACAAAGAACACAAATGGTGTTCTACATGGTTGGTATTGATCAGTCATTCAAAAATTGTAACTCAGAACATTTACCAACATAACAATGATCAAACTCAATGATATACATCAAGTAAGCAAAACCAGATTGTACTTCTTTAGTTCAGGCAAAATCAAAGCAGCAGATTAGACGAAATACCATAAGATAACAGACCAGATAACAGTAAGAATTAGTTACGGTAATATCTGTTATTAGAGGGCTGCTTATTATAATATTCTGACTGCCACTTTCTGTTATGATTGTGATTGTGATTTGGACGGTTCTTAAAATGATGGTGGGGATTGGAGTAGTTGTACTTTCGGTTCTGATTAAAGGTAGGAGGTCCAGGCCTGTGCTGGAAAGGATGTGAGTATGGTTTCCATCTGTTGTGATCCTTTTTCATCTTCTTGGTCTGAAAATGAAACAGCAAGGAGTTAATATACAAAGCACAGAAATAGGATGGCAATAACTTAGGTAGAAAAGTAACTGTACTCACTCGGCCTCGGTCAAGCTCCATTTCATATTCGTCTCGTGTTCTTTTCCAGGACCCTTGTCTGTCTTCCTCAACACTTCTCTCTACTTGACTCTGATCCCCATTCCAGGATGTAACTGAAAAATAAAAATAAAATCAGAATCGATGCTTCATGCTAGTCAATTAAATAATGCAATCAGATTTACAGACTGGTGATGCACATACCTCGGTCATTGCCGAATCCGTGGTGAGACATCTTCATTAGATCATTCACAGTGTTAGAATTACCTTCACCATTCCACATTGATGAACCTGTATATTGGGCCTTACTGGATTCAGCACTCCCATTCCTTCCCATGGGGGAGGATGACGACTGACTTCCATTATAGGATGTAGATTGTTCGAGCCTGTTGCTCCCGTCACTCTGTTTAGGAATACCTTTCTCCTCCGTTTGATCAGACCTATAAAAAGGAGAAAAAAGTTATGAGCTAGTTAGTTTTAATTTGTCGACTAAATATCTATTAGGTCATTCCAGCAAAAGCAACAACTTATGAGTTATGGCCAACAAAATGACAAACAGCTGAAACTTTGAATGAACGTGGATAATACACAAATACATAACAATCAAGTCAGATTTAGCGATCCAAAATTGTAACAAAGAAGTGATGTGAAAATGCAGCAAACTTCTGTGAAGCTTGTTTCACCAGCAGCCTATAGTTATCAAATTTATAAGCCAGTTGTGTTGTGTGTGATTTTAGAGTTAATAATGAATGATGGTTCAGCATTAGTAAAAGCATAAGCTAGACAAAATGCAAACACTTACATTTTAGCTTTCTTTTTCATGAGCTTGTTGGAAGAGGAAGAATCAGATTCACTGGAAAGTGATGATCTCCTCACTCTAACCTTTTTCAAAGGAAATGAATGTTTTGAAGAGCAAACATTTCCGCCAACATTTAATTCTCTTTCAACACTCTTGGCTCTGATACTGCATTTTCGAGCAGATTTGACTGTTTGACTTTCTAACTCTGGGTCACTAGAATAGCTAGTAGTTGTAGGGGATTGCTCTTTTAGTTTCCCATCTTTGATCTTTTGGGTCGGAATAGTTTTCAATCCCATTGAACTTTTCACAGAATGATTATCTATTACATTCCAGTTGGTACCAGTGGCACTAGCCACACTGTGGTTGCTACTTTCGCTGTGAATAGAGGGACTTCGAAGTCCAGAAGAATTTGTCACTTGCCAATCACTTGGTTTTGTAGCTTTGACAGTGAGCACCGCTTGATCATCGTTTAATGGAGGACTGAGACTGCTATCCCGTGAACTTGAGTCGTCATCATAGTCATAAGGAACCAAAGAACCAGTGTGTTTCTTCTCTGGCTCAGGCTTGGCTGCACTGGATATATCTTTCTTTCCTGAGTCATTCTGATTGGGAAGAAGCACATCAGATGTCTTCATGTTTCCGACTGTAGGAGAACCAGAGTGCTTCCCATTAGCCAGCACCTGAACTGGCCCTATAAAGTTTTGAGGACGTGCTTCCTTCACTGAACCATTTTGAGCATTGATTGGTTTTGGTGTAGTAACAAGGGAGCTGTTTCCATCAGGTCTCTTTGTGTGGATTACAAGTCGAGGCTGTGCACTTGCTGGTTTAGGAGGAGTCAACCCAAAAGTAACACGATCCCTGTAAGCAACAGGTTGCAGTAAGACAATAGAGTTTCCAAAGGTAACTGCAATATTTCTTTAACAGCAAGATCTGATATGAAAAACTTGATAGATCCAAAGAAGCTATTCAGAGGGAAGGGTTGGCAAAATAAAGACTGCCTCCAAAAATGCATGAAAAAGAACTATGTGAGAACAGACACATGAAGATGTAGTGGGCCAAACTTTACGTTGTAAAAACATGTGTATGTGACTAGACATTCAAAGAGTGACGATATTTAAGGATGTGAACTAATGAGTTCAGCGGCCTTTCTGAAAGAATAGTGGAATTCTGTAAAACTGTAGCTGATACATACCGGTCTTTGACAGAGGGAAGACCACCTGTCATGTTTTGAATATTCTTATTTGTTCCTGCAATAAACAATAAAATCAAAACTTCTGTAATATGAAGCATGCAAAAGCAGAGGTATTCTTCACATCCAGCAACTTTGCCCTTACCATTAAGGTGATTTTGATTATTCTGAGCTAATGCAGTGTTTGAAGATATTGAAGCTGTAGCTGCAGCCTTAGGGCCATGCTTCAATGCCTGAGGTTCCATTTCATAGATAAGAATGTATGCGCAGTTATTTAAAACAGACTGGAGTGAGACAGGATGTACCTGAAATTCCACATGAAAATTCAAGACAGGTTTTTATCAATATACAATGTGCTGAAAACAACATTAAGTTCTAATGCAATGCTCTACTTACATGAGTATCATCAAAGTGATGGAAGGTTCGTGAAGAGCACTGCGCTATGGCTGTATAATGGCCACATCCAGAAGAAGGACCAACATGTGTCACCATGGAGATAAGTCTGTATGGAACTGTTGCAAATTTGGCATACGATGACTGAGGATGGACATGTCTTTTCAAATCCATTTGAGTTCTGTGTTCTACTGGTTTAGGTAACTTCACACCAATAGCATTAAACCTATAGAATTTTAAAACAGTCAATGTCAAAATATTTGTATGCAGAGAAATTAAAATACACATGCACAGGAAACTGACAATGGTAGTTCACTTACCGTTTCAATTGGATGCAGAGTACTTTGGGGGGCCTTTCTATAGAATATTTCTTTGTAGCAGGAACACCACATTTACATTTTTCACATTTGTAAGAATTTTCACCATCAAGTTTTTCCTTGCAAAAGTATTGATCCATGGCATCTTCCACTTTCGATGCTTTCCTTATGTCCAAAATCAAATCTTGGAAATGTTGAAAGGTGGTTGATGCATAGTTACATCTCAGACATTTAACTGTTTCAGGTGGAAAAAAAATCGGAAAACCAAACAATTAAACTCAATCAATAAAGCATAATGATAGGATAGGGGGAAAAAATGACTAAATGTACCTTCTGTCCGAATATATCCACCAAATATCTGATTAATGGGTGTTGTTTCTTTACTGTAGGGATCTAACCTACAATAAAAAGTTCCATAAAGTAAGTTGCTGAGAGCAAATAATTTAAACAGTTCTACAAATATCTAAGAAGTCAATGCTTACTTTGTTGCTTTGCACCTATTCAAATAAGCCTTTTCCATGTTTTCTAAAAGGTGTCTCATAAATTCGTGAGCATCCTCTTGTGATCCGTGAGACATGTGTCTACAAATCACTAAAATAAATGTCCCTTAATTAGAAGAGAAAACAAATACTACACAAAATAGTCTACAAACTAAGAGAAGTACTTACTCTTGATTTTACTTGTAATGAGAGTGGGTTTGACTATGGGATGACTTTGAGATAGTCGCAAAGTTCTTGACATTGAACAGGTTATACAATCCCCATAACCTTGACCATTAACTAACTCACATTTCTTCATATGTTCAGTGTCACCCAACAACCAATCAACAAATGCAGGTACATGAAATAAGGCCTAGAAAAAAGACAATAATTACAAATACTGAACAAATAACATGTTACCTGACATTTCAAAGTTTGAATTTTAGTACCTGTAACGTGGCATTGAGGTAACAGGTGTTTCCAAGATTAACAAAGCCAGCCCCTGCACGGAAGTAACCCTTCCACCCTAATGTGACTTTGTCAGGATGATAAAGAACATGCTTAGGCTCTGGCAAAGTGGAATCACAATTCACTGATTTTGAAGAACAGTTTTCATTGCCTTGTGGACCTTTAATATGACCATTTGAACCATATTTTTTGACACCGTTTACTTGTCCACCATTGACATTTGCATAGCTTAAACCATTTAAATGAACTCCTTTGACACCATTAAGTTGAGGTCCAATCATATGGTTATTACCATTAGCAACAGTTTTGTTTCCATTTAATACACCATTGGAACAACCAGGGTCTTTGATTCCATTACTGGTATTTCCATTTAGACCATGTGCTCCCAAAGAGTGCTGTAAAAGTCACAATAATTGTAATAATAAAGAGAACATTTCAAATTTTCAATCTTAAGTCAGGAGAGAAGACAATTTAGTACTCTAAAATGTATTTACTAGATGGTAGTTGGTTAAGAGATTACCAACCTTTGTATCAAGGACAATGTACTTTGATTTCAGGACATTTTGAGTGCTGCACTGCTGGTTATCAGCCAACTCAAACTCAACATGATGCTTTGTGATCTCATCTAGTTTATTGCCAGCTGCCAAGGCTAAATCCAGACCATTTGGTTCACCATTTGTTTCAATGCCAGCCTTCCTTGACACTCCAGCTAAAGATTGACGCAATCCAGCAGTCACAACGTCAGTTGGAGACGGCATGTTACTTTAGAAAATCAGCCTGAGAACAAATATTAATAGAAAGTAATAAAATAATGCAACAATAACCATCGGATTTGGACAGAGGTCAAATATTAAAAGAAATGTCAGTAAATGATGCTAGAGGCCTTTCAATTCAGTAGAAAAAAACTGGTCTTGCAAATAAAAAGTAAGGAATGAATGAAAACATACAGAAAAACAAAAATGGACTGAACACCTGAGGATAATTACCAGTACCTGCTAGACATAAATGACAGGAAAAAAAAAGTCGATCCTAACAGTAAAGAAGTAAAATTTATTTTTAAAAAATTGTGAATAATTTCGGGAACACGTGATTCTGTGTTGACAGCTTTTTTTTTCATCAGCGAAAATGCTCGTAATGCCTCGCAAATATAAAGAAATTTACTCGAAAATCCGTCGACATGCTGTGGTTGCTTACAAGAAGTAACGCGTTCAGAGATGTAAATCCGCGCCAAAGAAGTCTGCTAAGGAATTATTCGAGCAGAACCACATAAACTACGCAGGAAACATTCTAACCTAACCCCAAGGCCCCATCACGTCGCTCTCCCAGGAGGCAGCGAGCAGTGGCCAGCAAATGCCCTATACTCTGCATGAACTACGCGGATGCAAGATAGCTATTCCAGCAAGAACTAGCAAAGGCTAAGAGTATATTAGGTAATTTGGTGTTAATCCGAGGTGAGATTTAGGATTCAAATCACATCAAGGACGGTCCAGCATAAATGATAACGCAGCCACGGTGGCCGGCTGCAACGAGCGCCATGGTCCCGTTAATTAAAGAAATACATACTTACATAGCAAAATGCGATTGAGCTTGATTTAGACCTTGTTGTACCTGTTTTGTACAAGACAAGGTCAACGTCATCGGCTCCAAATCACGGACTAAAGTCGCTTTTCAATATCTCCAGCAGATACATGAAAATATCAACACCACAACGTTTCACATGCCGGAACGGACTTCCGGAAAGGCATGGTCAAGTTGACTGACTTTTATTTTGTGTTATGATGTTTTGACTCATTGGTGAACTTCGTTTAAAATAATGGGTAATAAAATTTATTTTATAATTTAATGACTCCTTTTTGAAGGAATGTATATTGTTATAAGTCAAAAGGAATGGTTCAGAGGGCCTCAGATTGTACTACGTGAAGCGAAACTGTGTGAAAGCGTGTGTGAAGTCCTTAACAAAGTAACAAAAATGATTCAGTTGCGAAACGTTTTCCCTCGGTTTTTCTTGGCTACTCGACTCGTTTCGTCCACAACTGGCCCTCATAGCTTCAGAAATGCTGCTGTCATTTCAGCGACAAGTCGGATACAAAAGATTTTAAGTAGGTCAAGACCGCCTCTTGGGGAGGACGTCTGCCCAATTTCAAGGCTACCGGCTGCTGTCAACCATGGCCCTTCTGCAACTCGATATTTCTCGTCAGAGAAAAATCTAGATGATGCTGAAATTAAGAGAAAAGTAGAAGATATTTCGGGAAAGTTCAAGGAGGCTATGGACCTACTAGATGACGCGGTAAGTCATGTTGCTGTTAAACAGGGGCGTGTTATTTAACATTCTGGTTCCCGCGAAGGGGCCGTGATAGGGAGGGAGAATCTCTTGCATTTGATTGGCTGTGGCCGGTGAACGGAATTTTGTCTGGGGCGCGCAAATTGATTAGTGCGCCTTCCCCGAACGGAACTGTTCAATGACAATTACTACGTTAACTCTCGAAATTCGATTTCAGCGAGGCTCTATGGGTACAGTTTATTTCTCTGAAGATATGACTGATGCTGAAAATGCAATTGAGGAAGTTCTATCAGATTATGACACTCTAATGAAGGAAATGAATGAGGATCAGAGACGAAACGTTGTCAGGACCATTGGTGCGTACTTCAACTTAATTTCTAGTTTCTATTAAGTCAGATGGTTTGTTTATAGTCATATATTTTGAATTTCAGGTCTAAAAATTGAAGAGCTGAAGGCCCAGGTACAAATGTTAAAAGATTCATTGAAAGAATAAAACTTGTATTTTTTTCATAACTTTGCAATACCAGGCAACAAAATTTTAAAAAAACAACAACACAAATATCAACCTCTGCACGATGGATCTCTTGTATTTAGAAGGTAAGCTAGGAATAAACAATCTAAATCAGCATTGTCCTCATAATGTTAGAGAAGTATATTTTGAATTTTAATCACACGATCCATCAACCCAGCCATCTTTCCATCTCTCATTCACACGATTGCAGTCAAAAGTCTTCTTTGACAATTTTACATTTACAATATTATGCATATCACACAACCATTTTGAGAGTGACTTTTGACTGTCTACTTTTGGAGGCTGGATCTTAATCCTGAAAAAATAGAAAAGTTTAATGTTTTGTTGTTCTTGTTTTTCAAAATAATTGCAATATTTACATTTTGATTGCGGCATCAATATCAAAATTTGTATTACACCCTTACTCTTTTTGAAAATCTTTAGCACACACTTCACAAGGATAAAATCGTGAGAAAACATCAAAAAACGATGTCATATCTTGCTTTTGCTGAGGGGAAGGATTTTCTGGGTAATATGCAGCCATGGTGTGCAAAAATCCCCAGGTTTTGCTTCCTGCAAACAGAACAATGTTCATTTCTTCCATTTTTGTTCACACAAAATTGTAAAATCATATTTTAAAACATTTACCCAATTCATCCTTGTCTAAAGGACATTCAGGGTTTTGAGGTTTAGAGGGTGCAGCACCTCCCTGAAATTTAAATATCAATTATCTTAAACACATTATAGTTTTCAGGAATCAAGTGACAAGTTGTTACAATTTTCTTATTGTGACCAAAGTAATAGGCATTTTCTGTAGTTCGATACAATCAAGACCAGAACCAAGCGAAATTTACAGCATTTTACATAAAATAATTGAATGCTATTATCAGTAGAACTGCTCTCAAATTTTAATCACCCCTGACATCGTTCAAGAACGTTTTCAAGGTTTTTATAACAAATTGATGTGCCAGTCTGAAAACTGATTTTTGCCACAAGTCCGGGATGGAGCTGTTACTACTACCCTATGCTGGACCTACAATATGATAAATAACAGTCGTAAGTCGTAACTGTGTGAGTGCGATACAACTAACAACCACGTTACGACTACGATCTGTCATATTGTGGATCCATCATAATTCTATAACAATTATAACTGAAAAGACATGAAGCATCTAGCATAGGTTATACCTTATCTGACAACGTTTGTTTAGTTTGCTTGGCCCATGTTTTGAAATCCGTACATGTCCGGCACGGTTTAGCAGGATTGGTCTCTTCCCCTATATTACTAAAGTTGAATGCCATTCTTGCTCATCAGCTTTATCAGTGAATATAGTTGACATCAACTGAAAAACAAACGGTGAAGACTCCGGTAAGCAGCAGACGACTTAATGCCAGGCAGACGGCAGACTGTGCGTGAAGATGACGCAATATCACACGATGTTAGATATCCTGTTGAATACGATCACAGTCAAGGTGTTCAAGGTCTACTCTTTGATATACGGCAATTAAATTCTCTCGCTGACAAACGCCAAAAGCAAGATAGGGTCTGAAAGAGAAGGGCCACCGAATCGCAGCACGCTCCTTCCTATCATCCTCCTCCAAGTCGTACACCTTATTTGCAGATCGCTGGTTATCTGCAGTCTGCAGTTATCTGCAGTCTGCAGTTATCTGCTGCCGGCGCGCATTTTCGAATGACTTCGGGGAAGCAGCAGCCAGTGAGGAGAGCTGTGCTTGTATGGTAGAACTGAGCTGAAAAGTAGTGCCTATGTTCACGAGCTACGTCCTATGTCAGGATCAGTTTTAGGGAAGTTTCACACTTTCCCTCATCTGTACGATGCAAATGTAGAACTTTTCAGCATGTTGCTAAAGGAATGTAAACTTTGATACCAAAATCTTGCTATCTATTAATCTGATAACAAAATTGGGGCTTTCAGCACTCTCCTGAGCTTCCCAATACTTGTGCCGAAATATACTTAACCTTTTTTTTGGGGGGGGGGGGAGATAGCACCCCTTCGTATTCTGAAGTCAAACGGAAAATCTCTATCACCAAATGTCGGCCGAGGAGAGCCTTTTCCACACTCTAGATTTTATTTTCCCTCCTCGCACGTCGCGCCGCCCCGGTGTGTCATGTCATGAGCCGCTCCAGAGCCGCTCGATGCTCACGGGCCGCAGCGGCGCCTATTTCAGGTCCATCCAGCGCGAGCACGCCCAAAATAAACGTAGGCCGCAAGTGGGGAGGGGGAGTCTTTCGCTGACATGCCACCAGGAGCCCCAGCACCACCACCCACGCCTGGCTGAGGGGGTGGCATGTGGCAGATGTGGCACCCCCTTGGCCGCCGGCTGGACAGGACAGCCGGTGTGGCGTCACACCGACAGGGACAGGGCCGAGCGGCCTGCACCCGAGGCACCTGGCCAGGCCCTCCGGAGGAGGTGTTGTAGGGCCCTCGAGCCGCGTGACCCTTCTGTTTATAGCCGCCCTGGAGGCCCGGGCGGGTCAGGCCCTCGCGGTCACTGCGCCGCGGAGGGCGAGGCGGGTGGGCGGGCGCTCCCCCCGGCGGCGCTGACGGCGCGAGCCACCCCCGACTCATACCGCAGCGGGGGCGGGAGGGAAGGACCAGACCAGACGGGAGAACACGTGGCCGCGGCGACCCGCGAAGGGGCGGCTAGGCTGCCTTTGGCGCCACGACTAGACGAAGTGGTGGGCGTTCTGATTACACGGTACCGGATGGAGGCGTGCGGACGGGTTGATGCGTTCTTGAGGCGCCAGGCGCCGTGGTGAGAGTCCGGTAGGCAATCCCGAGCGCACGTCTGCCTGCGGTACAGTACCGTACGACCAGAGAGGGGCGCGGCTTGTTCTTGCAAATCAAAGGGTGGAGGTGGGAAAGGTGTTCTCCGGTTGTGAGAAGGGGTGGGTTAGAGGGTCAGAAAGTAGTAAGCGCTGTGATAAGGGGGGGGTGAGGTGAGGGAGGGAGAGAGAGAGAGAGAGAGAGAGAGAGAGAGAGAGAGAGAGAGAGAGAGAGAGAGAGAGAGAGAGAGAGAGAGAGAGAGAGAGGCGGCAGATAACGGTACGTAGCGCCCCCCGCTTCCAGATCGGCGGCGCGGGCCGGCGGGGGCCCCGCGGCCGGCCCCCCTCCCGCCTCGCCGCGGGCCCGCCCCGCCCCGCGCTCTTCTGTCCGCTCCACTTGAGTCCAGCCCTGCGAGCCCGGCCCCGGCCCCGGCCAGCACCAGCAGCAGCAGTCAGTCGGCTGTCGGCTGTCGCACACGACGCTCCTCTCCGTGCACGCACGTTGCGCACGTCACCGCGGCACGCCCGCCCTGTCCCCGCGCCCACGCACACGCGTGCGCCGCACGCCCGTGTGGCCCGGCGCGCCCGGCCCTACTGCAGTGAAAGTGTGTGGCGTGGCGTGAAAGTGCTGCCCTCCCCGCCGGTACGGCGCGGCGCTCCGGACAAGGATTACCTCGAGCACGGCGAGCAACGCGGCGACAAACGCTCCGGTGAGTCGTACGTCTGGCCGTGTGCCTGGAAAAGTAAGGCGAGCGCCGGGCCGCCGCGTCGCGGTGGAGCCCGGTGGAGCCGGATGTGCTCGCCTCGTCCCCCGCCGCCGCTCGCCTCGCGGCTCCCACCGCGGAGGGACCCGCTACGGCTGCTGCTGCTAGTCGCGACGCTGCAGCCGCCCGGCCTTCCCTTCCCCTGACCCTGCAGCCTCCAGCCGCCTGACCCGGCCCGGCCTGGTGCGTAGTGCGCGTGGGGTCAGATCACTTCTATCTGGACCTGCCACGCTCGGCTGCGCTCTGCTCTGATTGTCGAGGAGGCTGCGCTATGCACTCGCGGCGAAGGGGAGGTACTTTGGCGGGCTCGAGGTCGGAGTGGTCCTCTCGTGTCTATCCTCTGGGGCTGGGGAGAGTTCGGTTAGGGTTAGACACATCCGCAGACCTTTCCCTGCGGCCGGCCCACCTTCCCTCCCACCCGGCTCCCCGCCCGCTTCCCCGCCCCCGCCCTCGACAAAGGGCTTGCTCGATATTGACGGGGTATGGGGACGGTCGGGTCCGGCTATTTCGGGCCGTGTGCGCAGGCAATAATTATAGGTTGTGCCGCCGCACCTGCCGATGGAAACTGTAGCGGCAGTACAGCGCTCACCCATGTCCGGACTCTGGCCGGCGCCGCCGCCAGTCCAGCTCGCGTTTTTTGACATCAATATTCAGGCCTCGCCGTGGCCGCGGGGGGGTCGAGGGGAGGGGCACTGAGCACGGGCGGCTCTACGGTGCTGCCGGCACCAGCATGCGCGCGGCCGGCGCGGCCCGCGGTCCGGTGGTGGGCCTGTCATTAGCCGACAGCCTGAGGCAGCCGAGGCTTCTCGGAGGGGCCGGCGCGTCGGAGTGGGCCACAACCACCACCACCACCAGCAGCCGCACCGCAAAGTTTCCATGGAAGCCTTTACCGGAGAAGGGAGATAAACGGCAATTCGTAGAGCTGATGGCTCTTCGCACACCGGACGCATCCGTGCGCGTGCACGTACACGCCCCAAACACACATACACACAATTGTGTAAACACCATTGGGTGTTTGGCAGCTCAAAATAAGGTCGGGGGCAAATATTTTCAAAACTAGATTTTAGGTCCCATCCCCACCGCCCAACGAGCCGTGAGAGTATACGGCGCGCTGCCTGGAGCGAATGCAGTTACCCCCCCC